ACAATTCCAAGGCCAATGTTCCTCATCATACTATTTTTTTCCATTCCCAGTACACATTTATCACATAAGTATGATCCCTGTTCATGTTTATTCTAGTGTAAATCTAGAAAATGAGCTATTTTGCAATACTGTAAATGGAATACTATTCATTTAAACCCCAAAAGCAACCCTTTGAGCTACTTGTATCAAGGATTTGTTGAAGGGTTGTTTTTTTTGACAATTTAAATGTATCCATGCAATGAATTTGATAGGTTATTAGCTAATGAAGAAAATTAATGCAGCCCTAGATCTGACAGAGTATATCAGCAGGGGGGTGTGTGTGTGTGTGTGTGTGCGAGAGACGTGTGTTACAGGCATTTATTCCTTTGGCAGGTAAACCCACGACAGCAGCTGCCTCTCTCTCAGTGAAAATGTACTCGTCCCAAATCATTACACACACACACACACACACATGCACATTCGCAGCCTGGCAACAGTTTAGCAACAAGCAGAGGAAGCGAGAAAACAGAGGAAAGGAAATGAGGGTATTAATTAATTGAGTGAAATTAAGAGCACTCTGCCTCCTGCTGGTTCTGACGTGACCCCCTGCTCTCATTGTGTACATTTGTTGACATTTCATGCACTGTATGCATAACATTGGCATAAATAAATATCAATACTTTCTTAAATTAGATCTGCAAACGTTAGCTAACATAGTTTTTAGAGAAACAAATCTAAATACTTTTAAAATGTGAATTTAACACAATAGACAAAATGTCCAAAAATTACGTTTAACCAAATTTAGCACCATTTCAAAATAGATTTGGTGCCCTGTTAATTGTCACTGCCAATATACTGCGTTTTATTCAGTAAAGTCAGGCGAATGTGCAAAATCTAAAGCCTGACTCTTAAGTGCATTATATCATGAAGTTATACAACTAGATGACAAACATTTTAACGAATGAAATGATATTCTAAATAATTATCTGCAATATCCCCATAGAGAGAAAAGGTGCTGAGAAGGGTGTCATGAATGCATCACCAATCACACCCGTGGTATTGTGCGGCTGACAAACCCAGTGGTTCTGGTTAAGACCGGTTTGATGTACATGCTGTCAGTTCAGCACAGGGGGAGTGTTGCCTGTCACCTACTTCCCTGCTTCCCTTGCCCGAATACATCATCTTCTCTCCATCAAAATCGGCAGTAACAATCAATCTGTCACACAGGAGGACACACACACACACACACACACACACACACACACACACACACACACACACACACACACACACACACACACACACACACACACACACACACACACACACACACACACACACACACACACATACACATTCCAGATACCAGAAAGACAGAGCGAGAGGAAAAGAAGGAAAATGATGGGAAAAGGAGGGGAAGAAATGACAGCTGAGGTGAAAGGGTGCCAGCGAAAGGAAGGCCGGTGATTACAACTGAGGAGGGAAAGAAATGCACGTGAAAATAGAGATGAAGGAAACAGAAGCTGATACATGGTGAGCGAACACGGATACACAGCTAGACATCGGCAGACAGGAGGAGCTGTCAGGAGATGCTATCGTTCAGGGAGAGATCTGGGAGAAATCCAGCGCTGCAGAAAGGTACGGTGAAAGTCGGTGAGAGGGAGATTGAAAGAGTGCGACACTGAAAGGTCAAAGAGAAACTCAGCCAATGAGTTCAGCTTGTCTAACTCCTGCCTGAGGGTTCTACGCAGCCTGCCTCTCCCCCCACTGCCTCACCCACAGCTCCTCTCACCTGCACACCCACGGCTGCCTGTAATCTGTATAAGCCAGTAACTTCTGATTTACATGAAGCAGGAGAAGGTTACAGGTGTTCTGGGGCTTTTCTGTGAGTCAAGGACAGCTTTGCAAGTGGCAAATCTGCAATGCCTTGATCAATATGTTTTATATTCTCTTTGAATCAAAGGTCTGTGTGATGTTGAAAGAAGTTGCTTGGAGAGCTGAAATCAATCGAGCTCTGAGCCTCTTTTATTTGATTGCTTTGGTTTTATTGCACATTTATGATTGAATGTGCAAACTCTGATAAACCCAATGTATGCCCAGCAGTGGATGGCGGTAATGAGTTAGCAAGTAGATGGTGAGAGAATGTTGGAGGCCAAAGTAGAGGTTCAAAAAGTGAATAGTGGCTCTATTTTCATCAGTTGGATTGAAGCATTTTATCATTTTAAACACATTATTTTACTCTGTATACTCTGGATGTGGGACATAAAAGTGATTACTTTTCTTTTTGTTTAATGGTGTATCTGTCAACTCTCCATTCTGTGAAATCCTTATAATAGGCTGACATATAGTGCGTTACTTTAGCTTAAGATTGTTTTCATTATTCTTTTACAATGATGGTTTTATTGTTAAGTCTATGAGATATCAGAAAATAGTGCAAAAAAAACATTTGAATTGACCCATTGCAATAAATCATAGCACTCGGTGATGGCTTGATTATGCTTTGTGTGATTGTCAAAAACCCATTACATTAAGTGTACAACTATAATCAATTTGGAAATCCGAAGTCTTATTATTGGAGAAGCTAGATCCGATGGATGTCATTTATTTGTATGAATTTGGTTATCATAATTGTAGTTTCTTAAATGTTCGATACATTTTGCTGCTTGTATGCATGTGTGCATTATTTTAGACGTGGTCAGGCACTAAATACTGAATCCCACTTCCTCGCACCTCTACCTCGGTTTGGTGTAATAGACTCGGGTTCACCACCCAGCCGCCTCATTACTATTCAACGAGCTGTCAGTTGCAGATGTGGCAGAGACAGCCGAGTCGCCACGCCTCACCTTTTCCCGCCTTCATGTCACCCGTCTCGAACAGCGAGCGTGATAAGTAGGCATGGAAGCAGTAATGGAGGTTGGTGGTGAGGAGGGGGGAGAGGGAGGAGGCGGCTGTCTGTCTGTCTGTCAGGAGGGAAGACATCGCCTCTGCCCTTTGCACCGAGAGTGTTTGGGGGGGGGTGCGTGCCGCAGACCTCAACTCTGTGGCGCAGATGCCAGCAGTGCCAAAAATAAAGTGCATTAAAACTGGCAGTCGGGGCCTGTTAAGTGATCACCATGACAATAGGCAGGAAGGCAGATGGAGAAGACACCTCCCCTCCGACACTTCCCCCCCCGCCCACTGCTCCGGCTGGACTGCCCCTCACTGCCACAGCTGGACTGCTCTCTCTGCGTCCTTCTTTCCTGTCGTCGACGTGTTCTCCTCTCACACTCCTCTTAATGCTCCGTAATGCTAACAGGCATTGCTAAGTCTATTTTTAGGCATGTTTTTTTAAACAATTTTATTTCACTCTCCTTCCCACCTGTTTTGTCTCCCCACTGTGCATTTCAGCTGGCTTGTGCATCAGCCACACACACAACTTTGTCGATGTTAAATCTCCTAATCTCACCTTTATCTGCCCTAATCAGCCTCCTCTGCTGCAGTAATCCCACTGAGCATGTCACTAATGAGCCCTCCTCCACTTCCACTCTTCTCCCTTCCTCCACCCTCCTCCTTATCTCGCCCCCCTGGAGTCTTACGTCATTGTAATCATGGGGTTAAATTCAAGACAAATGCACACACACCTGCGCTCGCACATGCACAGAGTGAGGTCACCCTTAAGTATCCAGATGCTGATCTTAGCAGCAAATTAGAAGAGGGCAGCAAAACACAAGATAAGAAAAGTGATGTCATGAAACCACACAAACACCCACAGGGGATCTTGCTTGTTCAGGTCTGTTATGGAGTGACATGTTTTGTCAGCTTGGACATATCCATAGCAGTGAAGATCATGACCTGTGTGGTGTTAGGGTCTAGTACTCAGCGGGGAACACATGCTTTCCTCCTTAGGTCCATCCGTCCACGTGCTGGCGTCACTCAGAAGCAGCATGAATATTGATGCTCCTGCTTATCAAGAGATGTTAACATTGTATGAAGCAGCGCCCGTAATTGTCTGCCTCCTCAGTGCGACACGACTTCTTCAGCGAGCACGTGTGAGAAGGTCGGCCCACAGGGGAGTGCGGCTCTTCTCGGCTCTCTTGGCTTTAAGTGTGAAAAGTGGCGAGAGGGGAGGAGCAGGAGTCGAGCGCAGATAGAAATCAGAATTGGGACGTGGACTTTTTCAAGTGATCTGAAGTGCAGATGCGAGTTGGCTGTGGGTTTGTTTCAGGCATGTAGCGGTTTCTCTCGCACTTTCAATGATACTCGGCTCTTTGGAGGTAGGGCAGCGGTGAATCATTTCTAAAGGTGTAGCTCGCTGTTTTTTTTCTCCCTTTTCTTCTATTCCACAGCTGCTGGTTCAAATGTGGGATTCTCTCCCTTGAACTGAGAATAAGAACAAAGTGTGTGCATGTTAGTGTGTCATGTGTACACACAAGGGAATATATTCATCTTGGTATGTTCAGTGTGTGTATGTGAACCTGCACACTGGTGCCTGTATGTGATGTAAGAGTTCGGGAGCTGTGAGACCGACAGGATTCCTGTAAGTGAGGCTATGGTCTAATCCAGTCTTGAGTAGGTGCATTGATTTATTGAGCAACGCTTGGTAGTTCAGAGAAGCCCTGCCTACTGCTTTATCCTAATCAGCACATGTGTACACACACACACACACACACACACACACACACACACACACACACACACACACACACACGTACACACAAGAGGTTTCGATCATCTGAATGAGAGTGATTGAAAACAGTTCACTCCAGCTGATCAAAGTTGCTGATCTTTAGTTAGATAATATAACATGGCTCTTGTTTTAATACTCTACATGATTATCTGTCAGTATATATTTAATTACTCTAACCTAGTGGTTAGATGCAGATTGTTTTGAAATAACCATACCTGAAAGTACCACAATGATAAGTGATTTTGACCAAACCACAGTAGTTTCTTTTTTTCCTGAAACGATTGTCTCGCAGGCACTATTTTTTTATTATCTTGTACCCTGAATAATCATCCTTCTCTCCTCCACCTCTCTCCAGGTATTCGGCCCCAAATCATGAACGGGCCAATGCATCCGCGCCCCCTGGTGGCGCTGCTGGACGGGCGCGACTGCACCGTGGAGATGCCCATCCTGAAAGACTTGGCGACTGTCGCCTTCTGTGATGCTCAGTCCACACAGGAAATACACGAGAAGGTATAAAGCACACACACCACACACTCTCATGCTGCTCCGCATCACAAAGTGGATGGAGAAGTGAAGCCCGCCACTCACTCACTTTCTTTTCCCATCACAGCGTGGATGTGTGAAGTACATTGGCCCCTGACGCACTTGCCGGTTAAAATATAGGGGCTTCATTATGATTTAATGTCACTTTGTGGCGCAGAGCGTGATGCCTATATCAGTGCCATTGTTCTAATAGAGAGTCTTGTATGGCGGGATGCAGTGTAATTACATTGGCTTGTAGAGGCTCTTTATTGCTTTCCACGCAGCCCCGTTGCAGCGAAACAATATATGGCCAAGGAGATGGGTATCACCGTACTGCTATCTCTCCATCTGCAGACAGAGTGAGAGCCGCCACCTCTTTCCTCTCCATGTTTTTATGAAAATGGGACATATTAAAAACGAAGCATTTGCATAGAGATCAATTCAATCAAAGACCTTGGGCGGTGAGGAGAAAGGGGGAGCAGGGAGCTTTTTGTTTGTTTTAACACTGCCTTATCAGGAAAAACATGATTGTAATGTTCACCTCGCCAGCATATTCAGCAGTTCCCAGTAATAACTTGCAGTCTAGATACCCAGAGGGGGTGGTGTAGATTGAAAATGTCCAATCTCTTCTTTCTGCGGCACGGATGCGGAGATACAGCGCTGATAATTCACAGAGTTTCAGTAGGATGCTTTCAGGCCAGACACCAGCTGCCACTCTCTCCTCCATCCACACCAGCATATACTGAAACTCATGGGAAAGGCTTGTCAAGAGGTGGAATATCAAAGAGTCCCGAGGTCGTGTCAGATCCACTACCCAGTAATCCCTTATTTTTCGGTTGATAGGAGCATGATGAAACACACAGCCGAATACTGATCGAGATCACATTTCAATACAACTTTACCGAGAACAAATCCTGCATGCAGCACCTGCGCTCAAACATCTCACGTTCTCCCAGTTGTCGTGTCTCACTGTCACATGTGGATTGTAAAAGCTGGATGATAGCCCATCTGGCATAGAGTCAGACTCACCTACCACATCGTACGCTGCCTGACTGTTCATCCAATTGTGCTTTTAAGATTAGGGCTGCACTTAATGACTGGTTACGTACGCAATGAAATTAAATCAAAAGGTGCTTTGTCTATAAAAGAAATATAACTCGGGGAAACAGCTTACCTGTCAATCTATTATTTAAAATATATATTTACTAAAGTGTACAGATGTTTTTATTTCATTTATTGAGGTTTTACTGTGCTTTATTCACACAGAACATATTTTTCTAAACATAATCAACATCGTCATCTCCCTTTTACTCACATCTCTGCTTCACTGCTTTTGAAGTGCATTAAAATGCGCAATCAATAAAGGATCACAGCTTTCTCTTCATAACATACTCAACATTTATAGTGCAATATTGTTCTGTAGTGCTTTCTCTGTAATGGTTAGTGCTGTTATCACATCCATGTTGCCCTTTGAGAAGCGCCAAGAGCTGAACAAAAACAAACATTTTCAACAGCACATTTTCCCTGCCAGGTGGAAAAAGTCTGTCCTCAGAATTACAACCAGCTCTCATCCACACTACACACACTGTTCGCTAGTGGGATGACCTCATGGCAATACAATCCCTCCCCAGTAAGCCACTGAGACCAACATACAGACACACAAAATGTACAGTTTCCGTATCACAAAATCCTAACTCTCTTGCAACAGTCTCTCACGCTCCCCCGAGCCAAAAAGAGAAGCCTCGCTGCCATGTCAGAAAAGCATCTTTGGAAATGAAAGACGTTAAAAGCAATAAGGCTTTGGTTACACTGGAGAGGAGGATATGGATTGGGTCAGAGTTTCCATTAAACTAAACTACTTTCAGAGTACATTTCCTTGAAAAAAAGCTTTATGACTAACTCTAAAAGCTTCTTCTGCTGAAAAACAACTTGGGACCGTGTGTGCGTTCCTCTTGACTGCTGGTGCATGCTTATGTGTTTTAACCTTGACCTAGCAGAGTCTGTCTGGGAAACTGCTCTAATAAAACGGTATGGAAATTCCGAGCTAATCTGCTAATCACAGGAAAGCTAATGCAGTTTGGCTGGAGGTGAATGCAGAGCAGTTATTTAGGTGCTGACAGGGGCTGTGGCTAATACTCAGGGGGAATAGTTTAGATCCACATCACACTGAATCACAGGCCAGGTCACCTTGTCCATGTCAATTAGCCGAGGAGCAGCATTTCACAGCGACGTCCTTCAGAGGGGACCAAATTCTGACCCTTGTTGGATCGTGAGGCGAAATTTGGGTTATTTACAAAACCAAAAAGTGTTTTTCTATGGTTGTTTTTTAGCAGAAGAATTCCAAAACGTACAATTTGGACGATAGTTTGGGGGATTGACAAGGAACGAGTGATTAGATTTCGATCTTTGGACTCGACAGCACCACCGTGTGGTTATTTATTTAGCTACGTAAATTACTGTACATACAAATATATTACGTTTTTGATTTTAGATTCTGTCATAAATTAAGAAGAAACTTGAAGAACAAAAATGCAGTGCAGAGAAATTATTATTTGGTCAAATGGTCTTCTGAGTCCAGTTCTTTTTTTGACCTATCACATGCGATCATCTCTTACGGTTTATCCACCTATCAGCAGCTGCCCTGACCTCTCTGTCCAGACAATTGCCCCCATCCTTTGTCCACAAACACCCTCGGGGTCTGAGGGTAATTGTGATGACCATGCGGAAACAGCAGCCCCGCCGATATAATATAATTACTTGTTCCAGTTCAGCGCAGGTCTGTAAAAGGACAGTGTTTCAATGCGGCTGGCGACCATGTGATGTATGTACTTCTCCAGACTGTGAAATCTTAAACGTTTCCTTAAGTGTCCGGAGTCATGGCAGATGTGATTTTCATGGCTCCTCTGGAAGGAATGTGATCTTGTCATTCTCATGAGATCCTATGAACTCAAATGGAATAACGGCCATGTTGCGTGCATGGGATGCATTATTGAATGAATGGACATAATGATCATCAAAAGAAAAGATAAATTAAACGGAAAAAATCTCACACCGTTTTTAGGGCGTCACCATTATGGCTAATTTGTCAAGATATCAATGTAGATCACGTTTCAGAATTATTCATTCATTTTAGGTGCACATTTAAATAGACATAGCTTTAACTTCCATGTTGTGCTATTTTCCTGATAATGTAAACATATTTCCATCCAAATAAAGCTTCTCTTTAGTCACAGTGCATCTCCTAGAAGAACATTTGAAATGAAAATGTACAAAACACATTTTGCCCATAATGAAATCAACAGAGCACTGTTTTTACTTTCATGCTGTGCACACATGCCTGGTAATCAACATGTCTTCTCATCAAAATAAGACTTTAAATCTTCTTCTTCTCCTGAATTCAGAGCATTTTAATACTGCTCGTCTGCTCTCTGTCGTAAATTATATTACGGCTGGGTTTAGGAATCTTTTTGATTTGATACGTAGTAAAAATTCCATGAGCAGAGCACGTATTTGGAACAATATCGTACTAAATCATGTTCATTCAATTAGCCAAAACAACGATCCAGGTTATTTTGGTTGAGTTGTTCATTTGTAAAAATGTTTGAACGTGTGTCTGCAGGTGCTCAACGAAGCAGTGGGAGCCATGATGTACCACACCATCACCCTGACCAGAGAGGACCTGGAAAAGTTCAAAGCCCTACGTATCATCATCCGCATCGGAAGCGGCTACGACAACATCGACATCAAGGCTGCCGGAGAGCTGGGTACGAACCCTCCGCTGTCACTGCCAACTCATAACTCAACTCATATGCGTGGTGTTTTTATGCAGTTTTATGTTTCTAGATTAAAGAGTAGAAACAGTCACTTTAAAGATCTCCTGTCATGCTATTTTTAGGCATATATTATGGGACTCTGATATATACAAATATATAAAAAACATGTCTATGATGTGTTTTGCTCAAAATACCAAAGAGATCATGCATTTTAGACATCCCTCATATCCCTCTATTTCAGCCCTGTTAGAGCAGTGGTTCTCAAATGGGGGTACGCGGACCCCTAGGGGTACGTTGGAGTACTGCAGGGGGTACGTGAGATTTATTTTATGTTAATGACAAAATAACATAATTAATGCATTTACACAAACTACTAATAGTAGTAGAACTACTTTATTCAAAGGTTTACAGTAATTCTGGATAATAAAATGGGAAAAATAAACGGGGTGCTCTCTTTTTTTGCTCTCCCTCTCCTGACAGCCCATCAGTCTCGTGCAGCTCGCTGAGCCTGTAATAAGTGACCCGACAGTAAAGAATAAATATATTTATAACTAGTTTAGCTAGTTCCAGAGTAGATGAACAAGCTAAGTGTGTTAGGTCTATCTCTAAGTGTATTTTGCTCGGCTCAACTATCCGTCACAGCGGCGGAGCTGTGATCGTGCGGAGCTGCGTGTTCTCCGTCAGCAGCAGCAGCTGATCTGATCTCTGATCTCTCTCGCGTCCGGTTATACTTCACTCCCGTTTATGTCCAAATCTATCAGATCTAGCTAGTTCTAGGTAATTATATGACTGCCTGCTTTTGAAAAGGACCTAAACAATAAGCGTTGCTTGACAACGGTGTGTGGCCGCAAAGTATAGCGCAGCATTATGTTTATATGAGGGGTCAAAATCCCATGCTCATAAAATGCTCATATTTTTTTTCCTCTTCATTCCCCACGCCCCAAAATAAATAAATACACAAATATACCAATTTTAGGAAAAGTAAGGAAGTTTGAGCAGTGTGGGTTTTATATGAACAGAGTTCCACATATTTCAAAACGCGAAGTGTAATAACTGCAGTTTGCCTCCCTGTCACTGAGAATGACAAAGATCTCAGTGAAGCACAAGCCCATGTTTCTCTGTAAGTACAACTTATTAAAAAGATCAGTTCAATGCAACTAATGTCGTCTTAGTGTTATTGCATGATGTTAAAATTGGTTTGCCATGAATTTAGTGATGGATTGTAAACATTTGAAATGTAGCATTTAAGTGTTTCTCAGTTACTGTTGTTGTTTTAATAAATCAGACGCTGATGGTGCAGCGCTGTACTGTACCTCTTTATATAGTCATTTTTTCCTTAACAAATTGTGTTTGCGCTGATCAGGGGGTACTTGGCTGAATCTTTTTTTCAAAGGGGGTACATTATTGAAAAAAGTTTGAGAACCACAGTGTTAGAGAAATGCTGATTATGGGTCTAAAGCTTTAAACAAAAAAAACGATGTAAACAAAGACTATTACGTACAAAACACGTTGCGCAGTTTTTCATAGCAACGTACCTGATAGGGCCGCGGGCGTAAAGCCAGCCCACATGTCAGATATCACGTAATATCGGCAGCAAATCTGGATGAGCTCCGTTGGGGATTGGACTGTGAGCCGTAGGGTCGCCGGTTCAAGTCCCCGACCAGACCTAGATATGGAGTGTGGACTGCTACTTGGAGAGGACCCAGTTCACCTCCTGCCCTGCCGTGGTGCCCTTGAGCAAGGCACCGGACAACCTTCCACCGGTTTGGATACGGAGGAAAAGAGAGACACACCGGGGACCCACATTTATGTATAAAAGACATCGAAAAGTGCATTTTGCATGATAGGAGACCTTTTAAGGGATTCGATTTACATTGTCTCTCGTGCTGAATGTATAACTGTTCCATGGATGTGGACAGCAGGTTTACTGTTTCTTCCTTTAAATGGATTATGGATATCCCACTGTGAGCCAGAATGTTCAAAGAGACAGAAAGGCAGAGACACGCAGCGAGAGGAGAGTTGAGTCTTCTCTCTGTACCCCCACCCAGGCTTACATCAGCAGGCTGGTGGCTCAAACAGCCCTTACAGTTGACAAAGCTGCCATTTTCCTGCCAATACCAGATACTGTGTCTAACTGCCACCCACTCACCGAAGGCGCTCTGCCTCGCAACGCAGGAGTCAAAAAGCTATCGTGCCTGGAGAAGGCGTCGCTGATATGGCGGCTGTTCTCAGGGAGAAGAAAAAGGGTCATTGATTGCTCTTGCTATTTCTCCCAGTCCATAGACGGCTGTGTTGTTACTCTGAGATACAGAGTGGGATGAGGACATTAGAGGAGAGCGAGGGCAGGCACAAGTGCTTAAGTGTCTTTAATGGAAATCTTTGTGTAGCTGGAGGATAGGCAAGGTAATACCACGGGTTCAGAAGTTTGAATACTCTAAAGGTAACAAAGTTATGAGTCTTCTACTAGAGGAGATCTTGACAAAGTGTCTACAACTTGCTTTATTATGCGTGTGCACAAAAGTTTGCTCAGGAATAATTCACTCAATGTGATGCTTCTATGTAGAAGTGGAAGTAACCAAATGTATATGTATGTTCCATCTTTATTTTACTGACCTGAAATGACTGATATTATTCTCACATTCTCTATTGATGGATAGATAGATGGATAGATAAGTACTTTATTGATCCCAATTCGGGAAATGTTTTTGTTGCAGCAGCATAAAAAACAAGGCAATGTACATAAGAGAAATCATGATACTAGAAATAAACAGTCCAAAATATTTCAGAAAAAAAAAGCAATTAAAAAGTAAAAAAATAATATATATATATAATTTCCAGTAACAAATATGATGCAGGATATTATTGGTGAAACACTGCAGTTATTAAAATTATGATATGGATTTTACGGCTTTTTTAACTCATTTGTAACTGTTCTGCTTTGTGTGTGTGTTGTTCTTTGTCCAGGCATTGCTGTGTGTAACATTCCCTCGGCAGCTGTGGAGGAGACAGCAGACTCCACCCTATGCCACATCCTCAACCTGTACCGGCGAAACACCTGGCTCTACCAGGCTCTCCGGGAAGGCACGCGGGTCCAGAGTGTGGAGCAGATCCGCGAGGTGGCGTCCGGCGCCGCCCGTATCCGTGGCGAAACCCTCGGCCTCATCGGCTTCGGTTAGTGTAATTTCTGCTGTATTTCCTTTGTGATTTTTCCCACTCCCTTCCCCTGCCCTTCACTGTGTTTTCATATCCTCTCACCGCTCAGCGTGCCTTCTGTTTTCCTGCCCTGATAAGGTTATTTTCCTCCCTCTGCCCGTCCCACAGATTATCTCAAGGTTGTCTGTTTGGCCTCCCTCCGGGCTGGCTTTCCTTCTCTCTGCCACACAGTTCTCTCATCCACCGCTCTAATGCTCACCATTATATCTCATTATTCTCTCTTCTTCTGTTTTTCCGCTCTTCTTCTCTGTCACCGCGGTCCCTCAACACCTTGCCCTGCCATAATCAGGCCCCTCATGGTAGTCTGGATTCTGCCTGTGTGTATTTTTTTTTATTGTGTCCTCTTTTTCTCCCTGCACCTGTTTTTAAAGCCAATTGTTGTGTGTTTGTGCATCATTCCAGCCTGTCCCAACATTAGTGTGCCGACAGATGCTTTGTCTTCTCAAAAGCCTTTCCAAAGTGCCACCTTATCTCTGTGTCCACACACACACACACACACACACACACACACACACACACACACACACACACACACACACACACACACACACACACACACACACACACACACACACACACACACACACACACACACACACTGCCTCCTCCCCCCTTACAGGCCCCAGACAGCGTCCTAGACTTACTGTGCCCAAACAGCAGGTCCTGGCAGGGAGAATACCCCCCCTTGTATCTTTTCCTCCCTGAATCTTCCACCTCCAGCCTTCTCTCCCGGTCTTTTCTGGCTCAAGCGGTCTTCAAAACAATGTCCATTGTCAGCAGGAGGTGGAGAGCAAAGGCCTCCTGGTTATGTTTGTATTTATTCCGCACATACAGTCAAACTGAGACTGCAAACACCCCAACAAAAAAAAACTGGCTCTCGGGCGAAAATAGACTCAGGAGTACTTCAAGTACATGTCATGCCAGAGTTTTGAAAAGAGCTATTTGATTGGACTATTGTAACGAGCCATTCGATTGGCCCAATGAAACGTGTTGATCAAACATCACTGGTATAATGATATCCCTATAGGCAATATAGAGATGAACAAATATTTCTTATTTTTTATCAATTATATATATATTCGAACAATATTGTAGGAATTTTGCTGCAGGAATTGCTTTACCAATATATTTACACCATGAAACAGAATAAAGGAAAGGAAAATTCAACACATATTGTCAATGTTTTCTTATTAGTTTCGAGAGCTACAGAACATAATTTGGGATATTTAGAGATAAAGAAAACATAAATTGTAAACAGCTGGTTTAGCCAAATGATGCAATTTCCCTCTAAATCCGCCACTTTGCAGCATTTTTCCTACAATCTTGCAGGCAGGAGAAGAATGACTTTCTAGAAGAAACTAAAATCTCACCCTAGCAGCTTTTGTAAATCAGATTGTTCTGCAGCCACAAGTTGGCGAGGATCGTTTCAAACAAATTCCCATGCTGCTGATATCTCTATCACTTTTTTAATCTGCTCTAACAACAAGCAGCTGCATTGCTTGTGCTCCGTCCGTCAAAACATCTCTGAAATAAAGGGAATAATTTGTAAAAAGTGAAGCAAAAAAACAAAAGATGAAGTACTTTCAAGAAGCTTGATTTGTATGGTAATCATAAGGTTGATTGTAATCCATCAGCATCATGGAAACGCAGAGACTGAGTGATTGCTTCAGTGTTATAAGGAGTCTATGCTGCAGTCTCTTAAGTCTTACTCTGATTCTCCTGGAGCCTCAGAGCAGAACGTAATAATCACAAAGAGAGGACTTTGGAGGGCCTTCTCAATCCTTTTCACCAGTAACAACCTCCAAACCTCCATCATGCTCAGCCTACACACCAACCGGCCGTGAGACAGAGGACAGAGAAGAGGCTTTAAACTCTGAGGCCCAATCCCAAACCACGCCCTACCCCCTACCCCTACACCATGGGTCTACAACACGTCGATCGCGAGCTACCGGTAGCTCGCAAGCCCTCAAGAAGTAGCTCGCCAAGCAAATCCAAAATGTAAAAAATACACCAAAAAAAAAGGGAATGTAATTAAAATAATCTACCCAATGCATAAATGAAACCTCAATCATAGCGAACCCTATCTACTTACTACAACTCTATATCTATCTAAAACCCCTCCTCCCCCCTCCTCCACAATGAATATCGACCAATCACGTTCTTGCTTGATTTGCGGGACCAGCGTTACAGTCGGGAAGAAAAGCAACGTGGAGCGGCACCTCACCGCTTCATAAGGAGTTTGACCGTGATTCTCCTTCTGGCAGGATCTACACAACACATCAGCCCCATTGAACACAGCCTAGTCATGCCAGCCTATACAACACATGAGGGGCAGAGTTTCACTGTGTGTGTGTTGCAACTTGCATATATTTATTGCACTTGACGCACACATACGCATGGCGTAATTTCCACTGGGGACAGGAGGAGACATGTCCACCCCACTTTTCGAAATCCCGTTTGTGTCCCCCCACTTTACAAATATGTTTTTTATTGTTTTTAACGCAAGCCGTCATCGCCATGGAGGAGCACACAGCCTCTGTGAGCGAGCGAGACAGAGAGAGCACACCTTTATCTATTTATTATAGTTGTCAAAAATAAAGTAAGAAATCATTCCAATGTGTACTATAGGACAGTAAAAG